GTCCTCGTAGGCTTCTCCCTCGTCCTCTTCAATGACCTCAATCACAAAAATTTGTTTGCATTGATGGCCTGGGGTGAACCTTTCTTCGCACTTTTAGCAGAGACCCTTCTCACGTCGGCGTCTCATCTCCTCGAACGTGAGTTGTTTAATGTTTGGAGGTGGCGTCCGAAAGTTGTTCGGTGGTCTCGGGTTAGGTTGGACGTTGCTTACATTCGATGGCGCATTGTCTATGATTGTGCGCTCGTTCAAGTATTGGTCCGTGCGCCGTTGCTCCAAGTTACGCATACTCTCTCGCCCGATCCTCCGTGTGGCCGATAAGTGTTCATCCCTCCTTCGCGCAGACTCCATGGCCTCGCGCATGGTCTGTGGGCGGTCGAGCCTTACTTCTGCGGCTAGCTCAATTTTAAGCCCTCCTATGAATGTCCCGATGAGCGCCGAACTCGGCTAGTTGCGCACCCGACATGCGAGACGCTCGAACTCCTTCATGTAGTCCCGAAGACTCCCCGTCTGCTTGATGTGTGAGAGCGCCTCGTCATAATTGTGATAGTCGGATGACCCAAATCGAGCAAGTAATTCTCGTTCGAATTCTTCCCATCGGATGTGGAGCGGGTTACCTTGGTAGTTGCTCACAAGCCATTGCCACCATACGTTGGCCTCTCCATCAAGATAGTAAGCAGCGTACCTTACACGGTCATGCCCATCAGTCTCATTAAGCTCAAAATATTGCACAGCTCGGTTAAGCCATGCGTCAGGATCTGTGCCGTTGAATGTGGACAGCACAAGCCTTGGCTTGTCGGGCCTCGGCCGATCTCGATAATTGGATGCCTGCGATCGCCGCTCAAAATCGTCCTCACGCTCGCGTTTGTACTCCTCATTCGGTCGCTCGTGCGCGTGTCTCTCTTCGTGCGGTGGTACGTCGCGCTGCTGCCGTTGTTGCTGCTGGAATCCACGCAACACTTCCTCAATGCGTTGCTCGAGTCGTGCGACTGCAGCGTTGGTGTTGTTCTCGAGTGATCCAAACCTGCCTTCCATAACCTCGCTCATACTTCGCATCTGAACGTCAAGATTGTCAATTTTGTCCTTCATCTCCTTGCTGGCCATGGCTTTCTTCTCTTGCTTGCGTTCTTTGCTTCGTGGACTCGTGTTGATGATGATATTTTTTTTTTTTTTTTTTTT